CCTTTGGTTTGCTTAGTTGGGGACGCTTGACTGACTGCACAAACACTACTGGAAGAGAGTTGAACTGAATAATTATATTACTGAATCATCAATGAACTGACTTTAGCTGAAAATGTATCTTTGACACTTGCATTATTGACAGACTATTTTGCTGTTTGACACTGTAAAGCTGCTTTGACACAATCAGTACTGTATAAAGCGCTGTACAAATAAATGTGACTTGACCTTAGACTTCTTATAATGTCAGGTGGTTGAGCTCAAAGCATCTGAATAAACCATTAAAGAAACATTAAGGCTGTGTATTTAGATTGCATTCCTTCTCACACCACACACCATCTTCCGTAATATGACTTTGATCTAGTTATAAATGCGCTCAACTTGCAGATGTCTTGAAACTGTATACCAGAGCCATTTGACAGCTCCTCCACAGCCGTGCCTGCATTGGTAGAGTGCCAGCTGGATTATCTGACAGTATGAAGAAGCACTGAAAACCTGAGTGTCTGATTCCCATTCCCACTCAGCCAAATGTCTAGGATATTCACTCTTGCCCAAACAAATCTATTAATCATTACAGGACTTTTCATCTATGTGGACAGAGTAGAAGCATTTTTTTGGTTGGCTGCATTAAGCTCGTCTTGAATACTTAATTTATTGAACTTTAGACAAGGGAAATCATCTTGGATATATTTGTCTAATTTTACTTATTTTGTTAAGGATAAGGATAAGGATAAACTTCATTTGTCCCCGAAAGGAAATTTGTCTTGGGCAAAGTGCTACAGTGTTGTTCTGAACAGACAAAAGCAATAAATAAAACAGATTAAAAAAATAAACACAACAACAACAATATACAAGTATAAATGCAAAAGACATACAGTGCAAAACACAATAATGTGCTAATATGCTATATGGGCATTGTTTTTGGTAAAATTCAGCATTTTTATCGAGGCAGGAACAAATGAAAGCTTCAGTCTATTAGTTTTACACATTGGCATTCTTAGTCTCTTTCCCGATGGTAATGACTGGTATTCGCTGAAAAGAGGATGTTTGGAATCAGTACGGATACTTATTGCTCTTCTCAGCACTGCCTGTTCATATAAAGTCTGTATGGGCTCATATTGTTTTATTCCTATGATTTTCATAGCTGTTTTGTGAATATGAGCCAGTGTGTTTTTCAGTTGAACAGACAAGTTTCCAAACCAGACTGTAATTCCATATCGAATAAGACTTTCAAGCGTGGCTTGGTAAAAAACAAGCAAGATATTGCTACCCACCCCATACAGTCTCAGTCTTCTTAAAAATGAAAGCTTCTGTTGTAGTCGTGTGCACAGACCGTCAATGTGTGTCTTCCAACAAAGAACATTGTCCATATAAACCCCCAGGTATCTGTAAGATGTCACTTGCTGTATCACTGTGTCTTTAATGATCACAGGCTTGTGTTCAGATACACTTCTTGGGTCAAGGACCATTTCTTCGGTCTTATTTACATTTAGCACAAGACAGTTCACCACTGAATGAAAGTATCTATTTCACTGTGGTAGGATGATAGGTCCATATCTTTGTGTAAGAGACTCCAAATGACAGTCATCAGCATATTTCATAATATAATTATTAATATATGTGCTCCTGCAGTAATTCGTGTATAAAGCAAAAAGCACAGGCGATGAAACACAACCTTGTGGCACTCCTGTGCTACTATATCTGACCTCAGAAAGTGTCCCATTGACTCTAAGCTGCTGAGTTCTGTTACTTACAAAAGAATAAAACCATTTGATTAAAAGAGTACTGACACCCATGCCATACAGCTTCTCTAAAAGCAAATGTGTCTGCACTGTATTAAATGCTGAACTAAAATCAACAAATAAAATACGAGCATAGGCTTTAGTGTTCTCAAGATGAACAATGCTAAGAACAGCATCCTCAGTGCTCCTGTGCTGCCTATAGGCACACTGACAGGTGTCTAATAGTGGCTCTACTTCTTTTCCCAGCAATGAGATTACAAATTTCTCAAAACACTTCATGACATTTGAAGTCAAAGCCACAGGACGAAAATCATTATTTGCTCTAGCACCAGGTTATTTAGGAATTGGTGTTATGTATGACTTTTTCCACAGAGCTGGCACAGTGTGGGTATCAAGAGATCGCTGAAATAAGGGACACCAAGCTATTGCAAGCTCTTCAGCGCAGTTTTTTAACAAAAAGCTGATGACCCATCTGGCCCAGTAGCCTTTGCTGCCCATCCCGTGGGTCTACTTCTACCCAGGGGGTATCTTTGGGTGTACAGAGCTTGCATTCTTATATTTCATGTTTTTTTTTCTATTATCGCTAAATTAAGATTCAATTGGTTATTACTTTAAACTGTATATTGACGTGTTTTGAAGTATATTTTACATGATTTAAATCTAGCATACAAGGTAAACTAAGCTTATTTCAATCTACTGAAAACATAAAAAAGTTCATATATATTTTATAGCCTACCGAAAGTGCAAACATGTTTTATAATCAATTGATCAGTCACTCTTTGTTGAATCCTTTGTCAAACTTGAAAGGGCGTCAGTAACGTAACGTTATTTGAATGTGTGTGGTTCACGCTTACTGAGGGCAAATCTGTTTAACCTTGACATTATTTCACTAGAGCAACGTTATTCATGTGCGTTGTTGTTTGCGGTTTATAATGTTCTAGCTTTTGCGTGGCATAGGAACATTGATTAGTAATGTTTGTTGACTGATCTTCTTTTTTTTTGTCCCCATAACGTTCTGGGAACGTTCTGATCTATTTAAATAATAAAAACAAGACGCATCACAAACCACCACATGTTTAAATTAATGTGTAAGATATTAATATGTATTATGTTTAAAAATTGTGTGTGTTGGTCTCTACTAATTTTGAATATTTCTTTTTTCCTCCAACAGTGACTGCTTTGAAAGTGTACAAAATGGAATCTGGCTCGGTATGTTTTTGATTTTAAGAGTTTTATAGGGGTGGTAATTGACAATATGTCATCACAACAAAAATACAATACTCTTTGGAAGAGAGCTGAAAGAGACCAGCAGAAATCTGCAAAAAGGTCTCATGTGGAATGTGAAACAACCTCTAATAATCTAGAGACCCCAAAAATACAGCCTCTCGAGGTAACACCGAATCCTGTTGAATTTGAGGGAGCTCAAGCAAATTCTGATTCAGATTCTGATTCTGTTGATATACCTGATGATGAAAGTGTAGATGGCATACTGCCCCTGAATGTTAGACTTGCACAGTGGGTCAACACATTTCAGGTAAAACACAATACAGTGGATGGCCTTCTTTAGATTCTTGGAGAACATCACCCAGAACTTCCAAGAACTGCAAGAACATTGCTTGGAACTTGTGAGACTCTGACATTTGAAGTGAAATCTGGAATGCAGTATTTCTATTTTGGCTGCAAAGAACAGATGCACAAATACTTACAAATGTACCCCCATAGTGTTGTCTCTCATTTAGAATGTCTGGACATCTCTTTGAATATTGATGGCTTGCCGTTATTCAAAAGCAACAACCAAGCACTGTGGCCAGTTTTATGCAAAATCAACCTGTCTCCATGCACTGTCTTTCCTCTTGCATTGTGTTTAGGTGTGTCCAAACCAAAAAGTCTTAATTTTCTGACAGATACAATGCGTGACCTTAGTGACCTTTTACAAAATGGTTTAGAGACTGACAAGGGTCTTTTAAAAGTTAATCTGCGATGTGTCAGTTGTGATGCCCCAGCAAAAGCACTTGTTAAGTGCACCAAGCAATATTCAGGCTATTATGGTTGCGATAAATGCATGCAAAAAGGTTTCTGGGATGGTTCTCGGGTTATCTACCCAGAGAACACAAATTTGACTCTCAGAACAGATGTGTCTTTCCGTAACAAATTACAGGAAGAGCACCACCAGCCTTCAGATGTATCTCCTTTTTGCATGCTCCAAATGGACATGGTTCAGCAGTTTCCTGCAGACTATATGCACCAATGCTGTCTTGGTGTTATGCGAAAACTGATTTTGTTGTTTTGTTGTGGAAAGCTCAAAACCCGTTTGTCATCTGGTCAGATAAGGGAGATAAGTTCCAGACTTCTTGACTTAAGACCTTAAGACCATTACCTTTTTGCTAGAAAGCCACGTGGCCTAGATGAAATAGACAGGTGGAAAGCTACTGAGTTGCGACAATTTGCCCTTTACACAGGCAAAATTGTCTTGAAAGGCATTCTCTCTGACGATCTCTATGAACACTTTTTGTTGTTCAGTGTGGCATTGTCCATTTTGGTATGCCCATGTCTTGTGAAAGAATATAACTCGTATGCAGCGGATCTTTTGGTTCACTTTGTGGAGGATGGTAGAAAGTTGTATGGGGATGAGTTCTTGGTGTACAATGTGCACTCTTTGGTTCACCTTGCCTCTGATGCATATAAATATGGTGGACTAGATGAATGTAGTGCTTTTCCTTTTGAAAACTACCTACATCAGCTGAAGAAGTTAGTCCGTTCTGGTAGACATCCTCTGTCGCAAATTGTCAAACGTCTCAGTGAAATTGACAAGTACAAAGAAGAGTTAAAGAAACAGCCCAAAGCTGTGGTTAATACTCAGAAACCCAACAATGCTTATGCTCTTAGTGACGTCCAGTGCTGTGAGGTAATTTCTGTCATGGGTGAAAACAGAGACAAAGAAAGAATGGTACTTTGTC